CACACACACACACACACACACACACACACACACACACACACACACACACACGTTCCCTTTCTGATGGGATGACCACAGTTTTAAACTTTTCATGGTCCCCTCAGCATAAAAAAATAAATAGTTATGACTTTTTAAATCCTCTGGGTGTGGTGTTTGGATACTTGTAAAAGCAAAAAAATAATAAAAATAAACTAAATCGTGTGCAGGAGGCAGCGGAAAGGAAACAAAAATCAAACTTAAAATCCTCCACACTCTATTGGTTTCCCCAGCTGCCACTCAAACCCTGAAATTCCACCCTCCCGCAGCCTCCCCGGCCCCCCACATCCTCCGCTAAAACCCTGCCATCCTTCACCCTCCTCCTCCTCTCCTGCCGGCTGGTGAAGGCGTCAGACCTCCTCTTCTCTTCCTCTCCTCCCCTCCATCTCGCGGATTCTCTCAAACTGCGCCCAGACGCGCGCACCCTACTACACACACACACACGCGCGCGCGTGGAGGACAGAGGCATCGGGAGAGGAGAGGACGGGAGCTGCAGATTTTGGATATTTAGGCGCGATCTGAAGAAGTGGCAGAGTTTTCTTGTTGCTTACCAAGCCGACAGTTTTTTATGTTTTTGTTTTTTGAAGTAGACTTTTTGAAGCCTTGTGAGTTCTGGAGACTCTGGTGGTCTGTTTGAACTTTGGAGACACAGAAAGTGATGAAGACAGGGACACTCGGGCTTTCTCAGCTCCCACCGTCCCGCTCGGATAGGCGGAGGAGCGCAAAGCAGCCCACAGCGGAGCGGGGGGAGCAGCTTCATCCATCGGTGGCTGCTTGAAGAAAAGAGCTGAGTTTTTATTTGTTTATTTATTTTATTTTATTTTTTGCCCCCCTTTTTTGGAGGAAAGCGGATTAAAGTATAGAGCCTGCACAGGAATTACCCAGTGGAGGGGAGGTTTCTTCTTTATTACTGACTCGTGGGGGATTTATAGTTGACTCCAAACCTCATCTGCGCGCTGTTTGAGGGGTCAAGCACAGCTGGAGCGCAGTTTGTTCAAAATGAGATTATTGATTTCACCATAGTGATAACAATCTGACTGTGGGGAAAGGAGAGCGATAAATAAACACAGCCAAGAGCCCCCCTATTTGTGCGTTTTGAAACCAGTCCTATTTGGGGTTTTTTGGCCAACAGGAGGTATGGAGACGGTCGGAGGAGGGACCGGCGCGCGGGTTGGATGCTGCCTCTTGGAGACAGTTTTCCTTCTTGTCCTGTGGAAAGGTAAGGGATGATGCAGACTAAAACTTGCCATCTGGAGGGATTTCATTATTATTTTTTTAATTTTTATTTATTAAAAAACAATTCCCTTCTTTCTTTCTCAAATCAACGTATTGAGGTGCCATGAAAAAAAGACACATTTGCGTCTTTCGTGCGCTTTTGTGTCCACAACGGATCTGACTTTCACACAGTCCCACCAAACTTAACCCTTCATAAAACTGTTTGCAGCACAAAGCTGTCATTAACGGGCAACAAGGTCCGACTACAATATTTTTCACACATTTGTGTTTAAATTTTTATACAGAAACGAACTAAATGACATGATTGCATTCATTTTAACACTGTTGACTGAAAAAAGTTGGCGTATTTAAAAACAACCCAGTTAATGGAGCATTACACCGTGCATGAGATGAGATGTGGACAAGCATCAAATGACAGATGCCTTCAGTGGTGCCATCTGAGACTGGTCTGGGGTGGATGGGCTCGTTTAGAGGACCGAGGATGAGTTCTGTTGGAATGCAAAAGAGGTTAAAGAGCTCCTGAAGATGATCCATTGATCATTCACTTGTTCCAAAGAATCCGCTTCAAACACGAATGCGATTTAAATAAAGGGTGTTTGTTTCTCCCAAGATCTGTATTATTTACAGAACTTTTCCCTTTAAACCGAACAGTGATCAGAGACAGGGGAGTCTCCCACCAGAACACAAAGAAAAATTCAGACGGTTTCAATTCCAGTTGGATAACACCAGCACCCACTCCAAGACGCAGAGCAGGACGGGAGGTCACAGCCTGAAGTGCGCTGGCAGATCAGGAGTTCTGTGTGGGTTTGTTTCAACGCCTCCGGGTTTCTGCACGAACGACAGTCCTTCGACTGGAGTGTCACAATTCCGCTAATGTTCTTTTTTTCTCCTTTGTTCTCTCTCTCTCTGTGTGTGTGGGGCTGTTTTTTGAGCTTTAATCAGCTCTGATGGTTCACGCTCCGCTGTGCGCTCCGGAGCGCGCCGGTCGCTGCGGTCACGGCGCTCCGGCAGCCAGTGGACGGTGAGCAGGGGCGGCGCGCCGGAAAACAGCTGTGGCCGGCAGAACGGCTGAGTAAAACCAACCACTGAAATCATCCAAACATGTCCCCTCTCTTACGCCCCCCCACCCCCCATCGCGACCTCCTGCTTCCTGGCGAAATCCAGAAGTGTTTCTTTGTGTCCGGGGAGTTCCTGTACCGTTTTTGTATCACAGTGAACACAGGTTTTTGTCTGCTGGTCACTCACTCCCCTGGTGGTTAGCAGGCCAGTTGTTTTTGCTCTTCAGTCTTTTCCCCTCTCACCTCACGCWCACATGGAAAGGTGTCACATCTTGGCTGCCCCGAGCATTTTTTTATTGGAGTTTAGTTGATCCAAGAAATGCAAAAAAGCAAACTCCTCTTGTTCAACCTTTCTTCTTCATGTGTTCCATTCATTAGTTCTCTGCCTCCTGTTCATTAGCTGCTGCAAATGTGTTCCATAATTTGCTCAGCACTTTTATAAGCAGCACCACATCATGGTGCAGCTAAAACGACTTGCGGCGTCTCAGCAGTTTGCAGTGTTTGTGTCACCTTCACGAACCCAAGAAGCATCTTTTCTTTTCCCGCATCACTKTATTTCGTTCTAATTACATCACCCCGTTGTTTCATCACCTGGGTCCTCTTCAAGTTGTCTTAGTGAGTTTTGTTCAAAAGCTGAACATCTGAAAAAAAAAAGCCCTACAAAGAAGCAAACAGTTTGGTTTTGAAAAGAATAAATAGGCGCTGGGAGGATCATGGTGGGCTCTGATCTCAGCAGGGGAGCCGATAGGCAGCTGAGAAATTACCTGTAGCTACACAGACCTGCAGAACCAATACATTCATCCATCTGAACCAGTAGTTTAAGGTCATCAATCTATTCTACATGGTGAAAAAATGAACTCCTTAACCCATTTTTGATTTTAGATAATTTGAGTCTAAACAGAATGGAAATAAGGAGAAAATCTTTATCTTTTTTTGTCATGACTCCACAATCATTTCTCCTGGAAGTGTAAAGGTCGCTCGAGGTCCTGCGACTAAACTCAGGGTTGCCATTTCTCACGGTGACTGCTGCTACCACGGCTCCTGCTTGRTGTCAGCAGAATCCTTGTTTGTGTGATGTGCTCACCAGCTGTTGTTCTAACAGCGCCAACTGGGACGCAGCACGGAAAACAACAAAACAAAACGTAGACATTGCAGCATTCACACTGTAGCCTGTGATTCATTACTATCGTCGAGTCTCACGTTAAAATAGAAGTTATGCTTCATAATTCTGTGGTGCACAGGGTTGTTTGCATAGAACAGAGGCTGCTCACATCATGGCTTTCATGCAATTTGGCTGCAAAATGTATCGATCATTCAGAGCATTATCTGGTCAAACTCTTACATGTAATAAAACAAAATAAAATCTTGTAAAAGTTGCCGATAGCTCATGGATTTATTAAGTTTGTCCACAAGAGAGCACTGAGCTGATATCATTTCCAAAAGTCAAACATATCCCCATGATTAGCATTCTTTGTGCTGACTTTGGACACTTTAGTTAAAGAATGTTAAAGAAAAAAAAACTTGTTTCAAATTGGCTGACTGAGACCATTTAAATGTGTTTTAGCAGAAAATCTCACCAGTCACGGGCCTACAGTTTCACAAGCATGTGCTTTAGAGGCCAGGYCATTTTAAATAGATTACCCCTGTGTTCATTAGAGCTCATTTCAATTCATGCCTTTTAATATAAGCAACTGGAAAAGAAAAGATTTCAAAATGTGTTTTTGTGTGCAGGTGTAAATAATGGTAAATAATAAAAAAAGGTGTTCACTTTGAAACAGAACTGCTCCGTTTCAGCTTCTGGAGTTGCGTCGCAGCAAAGATTGTATTTAATGTGTCAAATACAGAGGAAAAAATACCATTTTAAAGTGTGTGTGTGTGCGTGGGGAGGTGTTGGTCTCTGTGTGTGTCTACTTGTGTGTCTGGTTGAGTGCGTTTAGCACTACACTGTTAACCTGTAGCAGAATGTCAGCTCTCTGCAACATTACTCATGCAATACAGAGCATTAATAATTACTGATGTAAAATCAGTGATACACACACACACACACACACACACACACACACACACACACACACTAGCCTTTCGTTCTGTCCTTTTCTATATGCTGATCTTTTTACTGCTTCCTTTGTGTCTCATTGTTGGGTTCATTCACTCGCTGACTCACACACACACACTCACACAGCTTATTTAAACACACTGAAGAACAGCCGCTTCTCATTCTCTGAAAACCAAGCAGCAGAAAGGATTTTCAGTGAAACTGGGGACATTTTATAGAAGTGAAATGTGAACTTTCACTCATGAATGCACGAAGCATTTCCTAATCCACGAGGTGTTTTTGGTTGACTGGTCAGAGTGAGTGAGTTGTGAGGCTGCTAACTACATGTCATTAGAGAATCATCACTCATGAGTGAGAGTCTTTTTTTTTTCTATCTCTGCCTTGCTGTGAGCACCCTCAGCTTTTCTGTCACAAATACAGTGAAAGTGTTGCACAGGGCGACAACCTGAGGAACACCACAGAGGAAGAAACTCTAAAATTCTGTTTTTTTTTTTAGTGTTAAAGACGCAAAATTAACTCATTATCCGTTTTTCTCTTTATATCAAACCTTGTAGAATATATTTTGCAAACAACTTGGCCAATTTTTAATTACGTGCCATGATAAATGAGCTTGATCCACTGAACAATTCACTTTATTTGTCTGATTATTTAGAAACTTCAGGAAACTGTTGCTAATTAAGAATTTTTTAGAATAATGGAATTTTTTCTTTTTTTTTCCATTGGGAGAGTATTCATCTTCAGTGTTGCTTCTTTTCTTAGGAAATATCATCGCAACAAACACTTTCCCACAGAAACATGCTTAAATGACAATTGTTTCCTAATGACTTACGCTAAATGTGAGATTTGTTGTTTAAGAGCTGTGCTCAGTCCATCAGAAATCCTGTTTTCACGAGTGGAATTCAAATTGTTAAAAAAATTCTATTGCTGTTTGAAAAAAAAAAACCCCGCTTGATCAGGAAAAACACTATGTAATACATATTGTAAAGACCAGCAGAGTACAGCTAACTCTGTTTAAAATAATTACGTTTTAAATTAGATGCTTTTATTTTGATAACTTTCTCTGAAACCGGAAGTATACTGGGTCTTWGCTTGACATAAGAAAGGTAGACAAAGGAGGTCTACCTACTCTATAAGGGGACAATATCATGTAAAATCAACTTTTTTGAGTTTTATATCATGTTATTATGTTATACTCTCATAAAGGGCGGCAATGGCGGAGTGGTTAGGGGAGTCGTCCTGGAACCAGAAGGTCGCTGGTTCGATCCCCCGTCCAGCTGTCTCAGTTGTTGTGTCCTTGGGCAAGACACTTCACCYACCTTGCCTACTGATGGTGGTCAGAGGGTCCAGTGGTGCCGGTGCATGGCAGCCCCACCTCTGTCAGTGTGCCCCAGGGCAGCTGTGGCTACAGTGTAGTTTGTCATCATCAGTGTGTGAATGTGAGTGTGAATGGGTGAATGTCTGTTAGTGTGAAGCTCTTTGGGGTCCAGAGGGACTTCAAAAGTGCTCTATAAGTTCAGTACCATTTACCATAAAAAAACATGCCCAAAGCCTTGCTTTGACTCATTCATGCATTTTTGAGAAATCCTGCAGCGTTTTTAGGAAGCCATGCTGAGGAGCAAAACGACAGGTGGGGACCAGAAGCGCCACTAGGACGTGTCTTTAAGCCGAACTTCCTCATGGCATAGCGCACCCC